ACTTTCCCAACTACGATTGTACAACTGCGATTAATTAGTTCTTGTTCTTGCTGCAGCTACTGCTATTTCCAGACATTGCTGCCTGTTTGCTCCCCCGGAGCGCAAAAGCACCAACGACGCGATTGGTTATGGATGTTAACCTTGATCGCCTTGATCTTATTGTCGACGCCAACCTGTGCATACTAAGAAGCGGTTCGACGCCACGGCACATAATTATGGAGCATGCATCGAATTTGTCCATTACAACCCTGCAGGTATCCACTCATACCTACTGAAAAAATGTCAAGAAAAGGTGGGTGCAGTGACACTAGTCACGAATCCTAAGGAGAAAGGCACGACACCACGTATCATTGCAAAAAGCCCAGTCTCCGAGGACTTTCGCTCGGTGGGGTAGGATATAGCTGCCGCTTTTTTTATCTGGTTCAAAAACCAGGCCAACACCCCGCAGCTACCGCAACTCTCTACCTTCTCTACCAACATCAAGGAAGAGACCCGAGCGCAGGATTGTCATCTAGCTGCACCGTCTGCACAACAATACGAGAAACATGCAAACTCATTTGGATCAAGCATGTTCGATAAGTTTGTCCATGCTGCAAACCAAGATGGCTGGAATTCTTGCCGCTGTGACAAGCATGTGAAAGACAGTGTTTCCAAAAGGCACGCTAGAAACCCAGGATCTGTTGACAGGCTTTTCTGCTGCACGCCCTTCTGATAAAACCGACAGAATGCTGCGCCTGACATGCTGCTGCAACGATTCATGCTTCGAGCGTCATGTTCGTCACCCATTCATGGCATCAGTTACTCTTGCAACAACTTTGAAATCATGAGCATTACTCGTATTCCGAATTCCCGTTCCTGCTAGCCTGAGTATTTCCAAGGTTACATTGCCAGTGCTACGGTGGGACTTGTGGTACAAGCATTACAGGAAACTAAGGCATTCCTTCTTCATTTACAACTACGCCCTTCCTCCCTTCCTTTGTTGCGTGCTGCCTTCCTTCTGTGGAAGTCTGTGACTTCGCACTTTTGAAGGACCAGTTGTCTGGCTTTGCCTAGGAAATCTTTCAGTTACTGATACCCCGCAAGGCCTAGGGTGTCCACGAATTATTCTGATTTGAATAGGACATCTCCGGAAATCTGAAATTTCTAGGCAATTTGATTCCACGTCTTGTAGTGTACTCATGGATTAGTTGAAATTTGCCTCGGTCACTGTTGTCCTATTGCTGCTCCCCCTTTGCAACCGTGAGCTCATGGAAGAGTCAGCGGTGCCAGCGCGCCATGGAAGCAAGGAAGATACAAAACACCACAACACCCCACAGAAGGCATCCCTTGTCCCTCTTCGGCCTTGTCTTTGAGCGCTGCCGGTTGCATGCCTTAAGGCGAGGTCATCACAGTTTTTTCGTGTGGGGTCATGCGAGCTGCGGCCTCACTATGGCAGAGGCCATACGCTGTGACATCTCCTGACAGACACATCTCAGAACTGCCGCCTGCAGGAATCAATTATCAGGATTAATGACCATCCTCTTTGAATTGCTGGATGGCTCGATCCACCACCGCTCGCCACAATGCTCCGTAACCACACAGCCGCGCGTCTAGCCAGGGCTGGAGAACCTCATTGTGCCCAAGCATTCGTTCTTCCTTGAAAGGCTGAAAAGGTTAACTGAATTGAAAACTGTAGCTAGCTGCCACCGAGAGACATTTGCGCCACCGATGCTGAAGAATGCTCCTTGACGACTTGAAACGAACACCGGACGTTTCGGATCGCTGCAGAGCCAAACAAGACATGGCATCGTGCCTTTGGAGCAGTAGGTACACAGTGAAGCAACCCCGGGCACCCAGTCAACCCGCTGATTGAGCAGGCGTAACGGGTAGAGTATTTTAGGAGTCTGTGCGGCGCGCTTCGACGGGGAATCATTCGTTACGCGCGGTGATCAAGAATCATGTACGTGATTATATCAGCCCCAAAAACCATAGGTCTGGTACTCTGCTGGAGGGGCATGCTGCATGTTGGAGATGACAATCGCAAGCCCCAGGATTCTGGAATCATGGACTAGATATCCCGATGCGGCATGGCACCTGCGAGTCGTTCTGCAAGAAGCTCAAGAGCTGTTGGCTGCGTCGGGTCCATGGGTCGGGACCGAACTGCATCCTGAACCAAACCGGCAGTGCAAGGGAGCCTGGCCCTGTCAACACAGCCTGCCTGTGCTGCGCGGATACCACCCGCCAAAGAGATCAGGAAGCGAGTCCTCGCTTCTAGATCGGAGCAGTGCCTCACAAGCGCGCAATTTGGTGCAACACTGATCATGTGGCCAACTTTGCAGGGCAACACCAGGCCTGAAGTACGCAAGCTGCGGCGCATCATCTACCGCCTACCACTTTTGCCGTGTGATCCTACAAGTGATGCACTATGGTACCATGGGATCGGCGTGCATTGGTTGAAGCACTCACTCTTGAGTTGCTTGCCCGAAGCATCTGCTCCAAATCCTGAATGTGGGCCTGCAAAGGTCAAGGGGCAGAAAAGTTGCGGACAAACTGCCTGCTTCCAGGCACTTTGAGCATTTGGCCCTCGACTGGGCTTCCGCTGAGGCCTCAGTACCACATTGCAGCCTTCTGCCTTGAATATGGCAACGCTCAGGCCGTTGAGAGATGCACAAGGCCAAGGAAGTCATTGAAGCTCTCTGTGAATTCTGCAAGTCTTCGCGCGACGTCCAGACCTTTCAGTGACGCATCTCATGATGACTTGGATCTAGTGTCCACAGCTGAGATCTTCACAGAAGGGGCTTGTAGCTTGCATGATTCGCTTCTGCCTTAGATACCAGAAGAGAAGACCCAGCGTGGAGGGAAACTACAGGAGCCGATTTAGCAACACTTAGTAACGCAAATGATGGCAGCTGACAGCTCAGATGACTGAGAGGATGACTGACCTGCACAAAGAGGCACAGCGTTGATTGTCACGAAAAACAATCCTGACCACTCTGGCCAGTAGACCCCAGCCTTCCTGAAACTTAACAAGGTGTCGCCCGAGCCGATGCCAAATGGAATCGTGCTGACATGGCCCTGGCAGCACACTGCAAGGGACAAATTTGCCGCTAGTTTGCTTGAGCCATTTGATCAGCTCCCTGAGGCCTGGCCCCCATGCAAAGGTCTCCAGCTCCTCCAGCAATCACAACTGTCACGTGTCATCGCAATAGCAACTGAATGTGAACGGCCATGTAAACGCCTGCACGATCTTCTCGAGGTCCGGAAGATTCCAGAAACGCTCCTAATCAGCTAGCAACAGCATCGCCAAGTTGGCATCGCTTTTTTGCGTGCTAAATTTCAGGGCTTTGCGACTTGTCAGGCGTGGCATGGCCCTGTGGCTTCAACCCCCATCACGGAGGCATTTGATGCATGAAGAAATTTCATGCATTATTGCATGCTAGAGTCTGAAATCAGGGCCCCGCAGAGACGATTGCAAGCAAATGGCTTGTGAGGGAGCGCTACGAAACAACGCCTGCTTCGAGGCATTTCAAGTTGAAGCTCCATCACGTGGTGAGTTTTGAAGCACAAGCTGCACCGTTCTCTGAATGCGAAGACTGTTGAGTTTGCAGCGTGCCTTCCAGGAAGGGCAGCTTGTTTTTAGTTCCGGACAGTAATTTCCAGCATGTCGCGCGCGTCCCTTACATGCAGCTGAGGTTCATGCCCGACCCTAGTCAGTCTCATGGGTAGCTGAATTCACCCCCACATTACCCGCTTTTGGCATTACCCGCTTTTGGCCTTGGAAATCATTACAAGTGAGGTTCAGTTTTCTGGCACACTGCACTCAATCTTCAACACAGACAAGCGAGGCGAGCAAAGAAACCAACTGACAGTTGAGGAAAGAGTTGCTACAGCTCCAGCCGGGATGTGTCCGTTGGCTGCCAAACAACACAACAAGATCTGGCTTCGTTATCCCCTGACTGACTCGCCTCCACATTTACATGTGGTCAAGCGGCATAGCTCGGCCCCTGCGTTTTGTGCATATTCCACCGGCGCTTAGAAGTATCATTGTGAATCCAACTGACCCATTTATGCTGACAATTCGGTCTTTTAAATTTCAACTGACTACTTTGATTAAATCATTCTATGGGACCTTGTCACTCATTCATGTGCCCACGCTAATTGCAAGCAGTCGATCCCTGCGCATGCAGCTCACAAAACAAAACAAGAAAGCACATGAAACGTGCGCACAAGCAACCAATGCGCATCTGGGGAAGCTGTTGCACAGCCTAGGCTCATCTGAACCAAATGGTCCGTCTCAAGAGCAGAGCGTCGCCAAAGCCGCACCAACCCTAGAGAGTGTACTGAAGTCTTTCCTTGCGCATTTTCTTTGGAAGAAAAGCCCAGAAATTGGATCAGGCTAACAGGCACCAGAGCGCGCTGAGACTGCGTGACCTTTGATTCAAATGAAACAAGAAAAGCATCGAGCCGGCAAGCTGAAAATCCAACTTTTGCTTCAGTCCTGGTCCAAATGCTGCAGCACTTGCAGCAGTCCTTAGTCCCAACAGCTGACGCTAGTTACTATATACTGGCTTGTTTCGTGGTACGGCTATTCCCACCGTTGACATCCAATGCTTTGCTGCCCAATGCAGGGCCCCAACCCTCTCTTCGTGTATACGCATGGCTGCATGGCATTACTTACCCAAAGCGGCATATCGACCAAGGCTGCCGCGGCTTTCAGCCTCCATGCCAGTCTGAAATCAACGATGGTCTGTACATGATTGCCAGCTGTCAAAGCTATAGCGCTGTTGATCCACCATGGCTGCGAACAATTATCTCTCTCGTCCAATGCCTTGATGCAGCAGAGTTCCCTGCATACAACACAGAGGGAATGCTTTCTCACGCCGGTCAGCGGAGCTTTGAAAATCGAGCTTTGAAAAGCTGCTAAAAGAAAGTATTCTTCACGCTTGTGGCTTCGATTCGCAGTGTAAATGCAGACAGCACACAGGTTTCCCCGCCGTGAACTGCAGTGTAAGAAACGACTGTCAGTCGTCGGAATGCTGCGGGCATATCCTGTACTTGTTGAAGTGGTCATTGGCCTTACCTTTTGGCAAGATCTCCCAGCACCTGGCCTTGGCAAAATTCGTTACGTGCTTCGCATCTTCCAAACTCCACATACGAAGTGCTGCCCGGACCACTGGGGTCGGGGCACAGAATTGCGTCATGCACGCGAAGCACCGCAAATGGTTATTCTTGCCTTCACGTGGAACCGGGGCCTTGCATCGAGGGCCTTGCGTGAAGAAGGTTTACGCAGCCCCTCGCTCCAAATAAACATCTTCGATGTATGACTTGGGGCAGGGCATTGGCGAGTCTGCTGCCACAATTGCGCGGGATCAATGAATTGTGCCAGGAATCGAGCCTGACTCTGGCTGTTAACAGCACATGTGGACACAACTGACTTCTAGCCTTTCAAACGTTGCATACAGCTTACTTGGGGTACCTCCCTCAGAACGCATCAGCACAATTGTTCTGGCTAACGCAAAGGGGGCTGCGCACCATGAGCAATGAAAGAAGTATGCAAAGTCAAAGCAGTGAAAAACGAACATGGTCTCCGTCACGAGTCGCTGGCTTCTTGTGCCCGGGCTTGTGCCTTGTCAACCTGGTGGACCTTAGCAATAGCACGACAGCCGTCGAATTGCGAGCCAACTAAACCAACTACGCCTGTGCGACCCCCTGTCCGACCCATAGGTGCATGGCTCGTTGGTTCCATCGTCGGATCTCATCATCATCAAACAGGCGGCACTCGCTGGTAGCAAAGTGATCGTAGCCCGTGATTTGTTTGCCGCATCGCCAGCAGAAGTGAATCTTGCAGCTCCTCATCACATGCGTATTCAAGTTCAAGCAACTGCGGCTACGCTAAAAACGTATGCTACGAAGTTTTTACGTCCCCGAAATACCGTGGCTCTTTGGCATCTGGCCTGTCTCTGTTACCTTTGGTGCTCAATGCTGTGAGGCTTCTAGCACTATCCACTCGGCTCACCGATTACTTGTCCAACTAAATGCCGTTACATCTTAATGAAAGCCGTTTTCGCGACCACGGCTTCCTTGACTGCCCCCCCTGAGGTTGCTTTTTTCAGATGAAGCCCAATCTTGCACCTTGTCCACTTATGCTACCACCACTCGCCACCCCAAATGCAACCTAGAAAACTAGTCACACGAAAGCATTTTCGTGACTCCGCTGGTGCGGGTCAACTGTGCCCATCAGCACATTTGCACTGGTGATTGTAAAGGCCGTGAATCTGACGCATAAGTCATAAGCCAGCACAAGTCAGCATTTGCCCCTGTGCTGCATAAATGCCACTACGTAAGACGTAAGATTTGTCAAAAACAGAGTCATATGCAAATAAATTGAATCTATGACATCTCAAAAGCGAAGGACCGGGGCTTGAGGGGCGAGAAATGCGGAAGCCAGCAGGAGCGAAACAAAATGCTGCACCGTGGCTTTCAAACTCACGCCGGGGTCAATGAATGTTGGACGACTGGTGGAAGACGCGACTCCCATAGGACGGCAGGGGTGTGTTGCGTTGCAAGGAGGAATTTCTTACAACAGTTTCCCTTGGGCCGCCAAGAGCTTTCCTGTTGCTCGCAATTCCAATTCACTTGGGCTGTGCCGCATCCTCCTTTGCTTCTAGACTGAGGTGTCATTGAATGAAACTCTTCTGGACGAAGCATCTCAACGAAGCTATCTCAACCGAAATGCTGGTTGTATGCGTTGTTCTCGGAATGTTTGCCACAGGCCTTTCTTCAGTCACCTTTCTGAATCTGCTTTTGTGCTCAGAGAATCGCAGTGCCTGAAGTGATTAGATTTCCTCAATTGTTGGAGAGGATTCTTGGAATGTCCGTAATCCGTTCCTAATAAACTCCCCCTAATACAAAGTACGGTTCCCCAGAATTCCAAATTCTGAAGTCCATTCCGAAGGCCACGCTTAAAAGGGCCAAGACTAAAATTAATTACTGCATTATGGGGGATCCCTAGCATACTTAACGATTAGGGATCTCCTTAGTTTCCTAGATTTGGATTGCTGCTGAATAGGAAAATGTATGTAAAATATGAACATAATTCTAATTCGTTCATTGCCATTGTTACGCGGCTTCTAATAGATTCTATTTAGATCTTCCTGACATTTTGATTAGATTCTAATTGATTTTCATCATATTCTAATTAGAGTTCGCCTAGGTTTTCATTAGATGTTAAAAGTCTTATATGGCTTGATTAAATTTTTTGCTTGATTGTAAATTCATTACTTTACTCTAATTAGGTTTCAATAGCTGTTGTTAAGTTTGACTTTAATTGATGTTATAGAGAATTTATTACGATTTCCTCACGATCGTAGTTAGCTTTAAGCGGTTGTTATTCGAGTTGATCGATTTTTATCCCGTCCTAAAATTAGATTGGGGGTCGTACAACAAATACCCCCACCTTGTATTCAATATGGGTCGGAGTACAGGGGGGGGAAAGGGGAATAGGCTGCGCGCCGTGTCGAAGTCCAGCTTGAGAAGACCGAAATTCAAAAAGATTTACCGTGTGCGTCATGCAGCCATTCTCATCATGATGTCTCCTTCCAGATGTACCTGCCAGACTAAGGCCCCGACGTGCAAAGCACTTTGCTGCAGCCTTCGGTCTTCTCAATGCCCATCCGACCTGATGCCAATGCACGAAGCACGCGATTCATGAAGGTGAAGTAGACTGAGGCGGCTGGCATTTTGGGCAACTCTTGGTAGTTTTTGCCAAGTGTCTGAGACTCAGCAACTCTGCACGAGCTGCAGTCGCCTGTGAATGCCAGAAGCAGGCACAGTCTTGAAATTCATGCGGCCCTTTTCAAAAACGCTCTTCCAGAGCAGATGCTTTGGGGAGATTTGGGGAGAGAGAGCTTGCTGGATGCGCTGAGATTCACAGAGATGCACGGAGTCAGAGCCTAGCGCCCAAAATGTACCTCATACCAATAGCCAAATTTTCCTTGCTACCTACGCAAAGGTGCAGAGGCTTCTTTGAGCTGTCATCAGAAGCTCCTACAGCAAACCGAGATAGAACTTGTCTATCTCGGATTACAAATACGGGCTTGGAGAGGCTGCACACTCGACGTGTCTCTTCGCTGGCACCGACTTTCTCCTTCTAGCCACGGAGCAACTGTTGGACAGCTAAAGTAAAGAGCTCCTGCATGGTCTGAATCGGACTTTCAAAAACCGGATCTCAAGGTTTTTGTGGACGCGCCGTCTGCAGTTTGCACCTCCGCTGTTAATACCCTGGAACAAGACAATCAAATGCTGCAAGGCTGTAAACCTGAATGCTTGAGATGATTCTGCTCTACCAGACTTTAATCAGCAAAAGCCGGTGCGAGGCATCTCAACCTCCGATTTGCGACGATTGGAAACCAGGGGCTGAGCGCTGCATTCCGGTTTATGCAGGTGCAGATTTGGCGTCTCATTGCACAAGGTCCAGACGAATGTTAACCTAGCAGTCATAAGGGGTGACTGTCAAAGATTCCCGCCAGACTGGAAAAAAGTTCGAAAGACTACTTTTGCTTTCCAACAAGTTCGACAAGTTCGGAGCCTGACAACCTACAATCAAGTTCGATGGGCAATCAATTCAAGAATAATGTGACACCAGCAAAACTCGGCCGAGAATATCTCCATCTTTATAGATTTCTTTCTAGTACTACTGCGTCCTGTCCCCACGCTACTAGCACATTATTGCAACCCCCCTCCCTGTTCACCAAAAACGCAAAACTGTCATTTTTGGTGGGGGCTCGGTGCTATTATTTTCAGGTCAATACGAAATTTGAAGTTCCGGGGCTGGGCAACCCAAAGTTCAAGGCTAGGCGCCCACGATGCCCACCTGCCGCCAAACCTGGGTTTAACCCCTGCGAGAGCATCAGCAAATCGTCAGTACATGACCCATTTCTACAGTACTTGTAAACTATCAGCCGCCTTCTCAGCAAGGAACCCGTCCAGATGAAACCGCTACATTTTTGCGGCACTACGCTCAATGCTTCGTATGTGCGACCTCCATGATCGAGGCCAAAATTGGCCACAAAACACATGCTCATGGCCAGCTCAAGCGCACGAGTGCACGCATCACGCATGTGCAAAGTGAAAGGTTCATCATCCTGCGCTGAAGAGAGCCAGTCGTGGTAGTCGGGACATGTCATTGATCCACGGAAGGAGAGAGATCCACCACATCGAAGCAAAGAAGAAGCAATTAGCACAATTCAGCAAGCGGCTGATCTGCGGAAACTGCCACTCACTCTATCTGGCTCAAAAACGGGTTGAGCGTTTTACCATGAACGCGCAAACCCTGACGAAATGCAAATTGGTCGGGACTTCATGAACATTCACAATCTTTACACCAGCGCTGGGAGTACCTGTTCCGGAGCCTTCCAAAACCCTCCAAAGCTGTCTGGGTACAAATTCGACAACTTTGTAGTACAACTGTCGCTGTACCTTCGAAGCCATCCGAACGCGAGTTTGGCGAGTTTGTAGTGCAAGTGTGGCAATGGAAACACTCGCCTCCGAAATCAGTCTGAAGCCGACAAAGTCGACCACATCGTAGTTGAAGGGTCATAACGGAAACGCCGATCCACCCATCTCTTGAGCGCGGAGTTGAGCACTCTAGTACTTGTGCAACTGTAGCGCCGGAATCGCCACAAAACAATGTTCTTCATTCTTGACACGTGAGCAAAACATCGCAAATCGCGCATCGTTTGGTTTTACTGCAAGGCAGGAAGAAAACTATCAAATCATATGAAGCTCTAAGCTTTAGGTTCGGGACTCTCAACATAAATATGCGAAAACCTCGCTCATCACATCAAAGGTGGCAATATGGCAATAAGGGTGGAGCATCCCAAAATGTTGCATGTGAAGCAGCATTGTAAATCATATGAGGTCGTTAGTGTCTTCTATAGCTGAAACATACCATTAAAGTGACACATAACACACGAGGTGGCAGTAGGAAAGCATTGTAAATCAAATCGGATCGTAAAGTGCCAGGATGCCATAAGGTCTCCCATTCCTGGAGCATGCATACTCAGAACCGTCATTCCGGTGTTGGTCGAAGAAATTCGGTCGTTTCACACTGTTTGGGAACTACGTCAGCACCAGCTTTCCTTGTATCACGGCTGACCATGCCATATATAGGGGATAGACTTATTCCGTCGGTGGCCGGTGTCTGGTGGCCGGCGTCCGGGCCGGCCGGTGTCCGGTGGCCGGTGTCCGTGGTCCGGCGTTCGGGCCGGCCGGTGTCCGGTGGCCGGTGTCCGTGGTCCGGCGTCCGGCCGGTGGCCGGTGTCCGGTGTCCGGTGTCCGGTGTCGGTGTCCGGTGCCGGTGCCGGTGGCCGGTGTCCGGTGGCCGTCCGGCCGGTGGCCGGTGTCCGGTGTCCGGTGTCCGGTGTCGGTGTCCGGTGCCGGTGCCGGTGGCCGGTGTCCGGTGGCCGGTGCACCGGTGTCCCGTGGCCGGCGTCCGGCGTCCGGTGTCCGGCGTCCGGTGTCCGGTGGCCGGCGCGGCGGAGTCTCGGCTCAGCGATACAAGCGGCGACGACGACGACGACGACGACGACGAAAACGTCTACGACTTCTCCAACTACGAATGTTGTGGCTTGGGCGCGTGTGCCCTGGTCATCGAACATGAACATTCTTATGGTTTGGGCATGGATGCTCTGGTCATCGGACACAGTCAAACATGAACGTTGCTATGGATTGGGCCTGAATGTTCTGGTCATCGGACGCAGTCAAACATGAACGGTATTATGATTTGGGCATGGATGCTCTGGTCATCGGACACAGTCAAACATGAACGTTGCTATGGATTGGGCCTGGATGCTCTGGTTATCGGACGCGGTCAAGCATGAACGGTATTATGATTTGGGCATGGATGCTCTGGTCATCGGATGCAGTCAAACATGAACGTTGCCATGGACTGGGCCTGGATGCTCTGGTCATCGGACACAGTCAAGCATGAACATTATGGTTTGGGCATGGATGCTTTGGTCATCGGATGCAGTCAAACATGAACGTTATTATGGCTTGGGCATGGATGCTTTGGTCATCAGGTGCAGTTGCAAATTTACGTTATGTTGGTTTGGGCATGGATGCTCTCGTCATCGGATGCAGTCGAGCATGAACGTTATTCTGGGTTAGGTGCTCGGGGATACACGAAATGATATTACGTTACGCCGCACGCGACGACCACAACACGACGACGACGATTACGATGATCGCGCTGTCCGGTGTCGGTGGCCGGTGGCCGGTGGCCCGTGTCCGGTGGCCGGTGGCCGGTGGCCCGTGTCCGGTGGCCGGTGTCCGGTGCCCGGTGGCCGGTGGCCGATGTCCGATGACCGGTGTGCGGTCGCTGTCCGGTGTCGGTGGCGGGTGGCGGTGTCCGGTGGCCGGTGTCCGGTGGCCGGTGGCCGATGTCCGGTGTCCGGTGTCCGGTCACCGGTGGCCGGCCGGTGTCTGCCGGTGGCCAGTGGCCGGTGGCCGGTGGCCGGTGTCCGGTGTCCGGTGGCCGGTGGCCGGTGGCCGGTGTCCGGTGGCCGGTGGCCGGCGGCCGATGTCCGGTGGCCGGTGGCCGTTGGCCGCCGGTGTCCGGTGCGGAAAAAGTCTATAGTGCATATATAGCAACATGCTCAAGACCGCGCAACGAACTGCTTGTCCCCTCAACTGCCGGGCTTACGTCGCAAGCTGCATGCGCAGTCGTGGAAACATGCTTGCAGTCTATAGGAAGGGACAGTTGCGTTCACATCCCGGCCCATATCAATCTTTTGCTTCGAAACCATCACATGGCACGGATGTTTCAGAGAGTTGGGTTGTGAATAGCGACGGCGCACGGTTGGTTGGTGCGTGCATGGACATTGAGCTGCTCTTGTGGCTTTTTTAAAAACATGTACCCATCAGTGCTCCAGAATAGATGCAAAGCAAGCACAGGTGGATGCAGTGCCGGCCCGCATTGACACCTCGCTCGCGACTAGCACTTAGCTGTTTAAACTCACCCAGGCATTGTGGATGTGAAGCAACAGCCGGAAAGAATGGATCAGAAATGGGATTGGGCATGTGGGTGCCTTGGCAGGATGAGCTGTCCAATCTTGAAGGCACCACTGGCAAGGCAAATTCGCCAGCCACAACATGTTTGATCTGCCAATCCATCGATTCCCTCCCTGTCAATTGTCTGTTTTCATGGTCTACTGCCTCTGCGCCCCTGCCAGCTGCCCGCACTTCGAGCGCTTGCATGCGATCATCTGCGGATGCGCATTCAACACCTGCCCAAAGACCCTCAAATATCATTGTATTCACACCTGGCACGTTCAACACTGAGAGGGTGACCAGGATGATAGACCTGGCCAAGGATACGAAAACAAAAAGATACAGAAAGAAATGCAACAGCTAGCTAGCTAGCGTGTATCCTCAGGAAAGCGTGCATGCGGGACTGCGCGGCAGCGTCCACAGAACAAAAAGCCGCAAACTTCGCAGCTAGCCATACAGTCGCTGTCTTGAATGCACGGGACATGCTCCCCGCTGTCGCTGCATCGGGGGCAGAAAACAACATCCTGCACCATGCCGGGTGCTCTGAAATGTCTCTTCAAACTACTTTTCGCCGAGAATGAATGACAACTTCAAACAGGCAGCTACAGCATGCTACAGCTCCTCCATTTCGGTCAGGCATTGTCGAAAGCTCAATTCCTCCCATCGCTGCATCAATGCCGAGTCTGGACCTGGCATGCACGGAGCGGGTGGTGACCCGGGCCAGATATGAAGGCATCGTTGGCAGCAGATGGCAGCAGGCCTTTAAATTTCGCATACGGTCCGTGAATCAGCAGTTCTATCAAGAGCTACAAAGACACAAAGTGGTGCCAGCTCTACATGAGCAGCTGCATGCTCCGTGCCAATGGATGGCATCCGAACTCAAGCGCTGCAGCATGACTACGCTTGCGATGAAAACTCCTTCTTAGATACCCACAGTTTTGACTTATCAAGCGGCCACAACGCATTTGCTCCAAAGCACTCCTGACCTTGGGTTAGGGCCTAGGGATTCAGCGCCGAAAACGCGGCCAGACTTTCAAAGACATGTTTCTATCCTTATTTCATGCTAAGGGCTGGCTGGCAGTTGCCCGCCCGGCAGCTAGCTGCCATCTACTCTTTATGGCCTGATCCCTTCAGCAGTTCGCCCTGAAACCTCAAACAGCTCAAGCCTCTGCTGTTGAAGATAGCCCTGAGAGTGGAGATTCAATATGTTTGCCCTTTAGGTGCTCACTTTGTGCATTTTACATGCAGGGTCCGCCCAGCAGCTCACGAAGCACTGATGCGTCAAAGCCCCTGCGGCAGTCCGCTACTGGACAGCGCAAAACTGTCACATCTGCCTGCGCTGGAATCTGCAGGCGATGTGAACATGGGCAGTGTGAACGCTTGGGATCCAAGGCGCAGCCATCGACAGAAATCCTACAGGCACGCCTCCGTAATGTGCAACGTCGCCATTTGCCGCAAACACTCGCAGCCTTGTCCGAGATGCAGAAACATAAGAGTGTATGCTCCCATGAACGTCCAACGGGGCCCTGGCAACCGAAATGACCGCATTCAAGGAACAAGCCCCTGTAGCCTGGAAGCTCATCGAGGCACACTGGACAAACCTCAGCGCAACAACATGTGTTCGAAAGATTTAGAGCGTCTGGCTTCAGAAATTGGGCTGAGGCTTGCTGTTCTTGCTTGCGCTGCGCAAGTTGTGCGCTGTGACTGTACGATAGCAAGCGCAGTGCAAGTTCCATGGGTTCTTCCTGCACGCTGCAAGTTGTCTTGCCAACGTAGTTCAAGGCATGCCATACCACAGAATGTGCCAACTGCCTGGGACAGCTCGCTTGCTTTGAGCACGATCTTTTGTGGCACTGACAGCTTCTCCTTTGCGCAAATGCTACAGCAGCTGGTACAGAAACTTTCTACGACACTGAACACTAAAAGGCCTGCAAATGGGAGACCAAATCGAAGAGGCCGGCTTGATCTTCAGCTAACTGCTGGAGGCCCAGCCTGAGAAAGTATCTGCGCCATTTGGGGATGAGGGGGCTTGGCTTGGCTCTGAACTACGCAAAGGTGGGGGGTCTGTTTGATGGGTTAAGGACTTGCCCAGCTTGCGGGTGCAGTTTGGCTCAAAATGGTTTCCGTAGTGCTGTAATCCCTTGCGACTTGCGCCGTTTCTTGCGCCGTGCTTGCATGCATCTGCTTTTCGAGAATTCATAATGGACTTCGTTTTCGTTTGTATAAATCGTTGCAAGGGCTAAGGGTTTTCGGGCAAGCCTCATTTAGTTTTTTGAAAGGGGCCGCAACACAACTTTGCGCTGCCCGGCTATCCATGGACCAGCTGCACTGCTATCCTCGAATACCATTTTCTCAGGGGCTCTTGGGCGCTGTCTCCAATTCGCCAATGAAGCTGTGGCTGAGGAAGCTTGCCTGCTTGTGCATGCATGGTTTGTTCTTCAACAGATCAACCCGCCGACGGAACTCAATCTTGGCGAGTCTCAATGTTGGGCATCTAAGCACTTCTGCCTAGGCCTGGGCCTATGCGACTCAATTTGAAAACTGGAGACCACTTCGATTTACCTTGCGAAGGCCTGGTGAGCTGGCTGCATGCCTGCCTCGATGACCATTGCAGGCATGGAAGCCCCATCTGCAGGGTAGCCCGGTGGAAGTGCCTCACACAAAAGCGCAGGCACGATCCCATCATTCCGCAAGACCTGCGCTGCCCTGTACACTTTTAGGATAGAAGACCATCCAGCCATCACGTCTGCTAGGCTCTATTTTCTCCCTTCTAGCCAACCACAAGTCTTGGCACAAGAATACATGATACGCCTTTCTAGTGACCTGACAAACCCTAAGCAGGATGATATGTCCTAGGTACAAGCCATATGTAATTGGGCTCCAGCATACTCTACGATCAACACTAGAAGGGTGGCACCCCAACTTCTTCCTCGTGGCAGTGCGCCTTATACCATGCATCATTCTACTGCAGCACGTCTGCATGTCCCAGCAGCTCAAGTGGGGATAGCTTTGTTTTGTAAATCACGCTTCGACTACGTCCCTGCAACACTGCATGTCTGCCGCCCCAGCGTGGTACAACCCCAGTGTTGTTTCGTTCACAGCCACACGGAGGCTCTTCAGGAAGCTAGATACGTAAACCGAGTAGCATGGTAGCGGCAACGGCAAGATCAGCGGCAAACACAAAGAACATGCGAACAACAACAGGAATGAGTGGAAGGCATTGGGGAATGACAAATGTAAGATGCTATCGCAACATCTTCCGTCTGATATAATCACCGATTTGCCGCCTGGTTTGCGACGTTGCGGGTTCCCAAAAGATTCACACTTCTTCTTTCACGCGGGCCAGAAGATTCATGGCTTCAACGTTGCACTCCAAGTCTTTGTGCGTGGTTGCAAATTTTCTTCTGTGTAATGCCTGCTGTGTTCTGTTATTCCATGTTGTTCTAATTATTAACTTAATTTTGTCCTTCTGCAACTTATTGCATCTTTTGGCTATGCTTCGTAACGTATCATTATCACTTCTACTTTGGATTGCCATCGTAGGTTTCGTTACTGTCATGTTGATATGTGCCAGACCACTTCCGTTGTCCATTTCATGTCTCTGCGGAAAAATCGTTCGTTTACAGTGGCTGAGGCTTGCGAAAAAAGCATCTGATCAAATGCTGTAATGATATATTTGCGTCCACTCGCCCCGCCCCCCCGCCAGAAATTTGAGGTTTGTACCACAGCGGTATATGCACCCTGTACCGACTGCAAGGCACGACTACCAAAAAAAAATGGCCCACATGATATTCCAAATGAGAATCCAAGGCTCGCTTTTGAGTCAAGCATGGCTCAATGTGACTCACATTGCGCATTGCCATCGTCATCTGAAGTCTAATTATGACGCACAGACGATCATCCCTGAAACCACTATGTGCAATGTAATCTACAATCATTTTCTGCTCGCCTTGGCCCTTATAGCAACAAGGTGGCCCTGGATGAGCGCGGACATCGCACCACTACCTAACTAGGCGCCCCGCAACAAACAGGGCCGCAGGTGGAAGTTCTTGCAGCTGGCCTGCTGGTACCTGAGCGGGTGATGCGACCAAGTGCTTCAGTCTTTCGGGGCACCGGAACCAAGAGCAAACGCCTTTCTCGCTCGAAGCTGGCTCTGCTCCCGTGCAATGCTGCGGGCTCGCTTAGACATGGAACGACGTCATGACAAACCACGATCAAACCAGCACAGATCTGCGCATTAACTTGTGGCGTCTTAACAGGCGCTGCTGGGACTCGGATTAGCAAGCTTTATGATGATGACTGCGCTAAACAACAGAGAAATTGCCAGTTCAGACAATCCTGCACCTCAGGACTGCCACATCTAGCAGTGACGAGACATTTAGTCTCTGGTCGTCTCATGGAAGGAAGATGCGCCTGCTCTACCATCTGGAAATCCCACCCATATTGCTGCAGGAGTTTGAATTGTAAGACATTATGCAACTTTCCGTATGTGCAGCGCGCATCTGAGCAGTAATCAGAGGTCTTGGGTATCTTTGTACACATGCAGCAAGTCTTGCTGGTCTGTACAGGGCTCCAGCAGCCGCATCCACTTTCAGAGCCAGCTATACAATTAGGCAGCTGTGGACCTCATTCTGTGTGCAGATACTCTGGCTTGGCAAAGCAGCAGTCTTGATTTCTGTGAAGCATGTTGATCGTCAGTTGCTGCACCTGCCACCATGCAGACTGCAGCTGCCAGCCTTTGCCCGCTTTCCACTGAATGCTCTTCAACTCTGTATGCCTGTGGTATACCTGGTAGCGATGCTGCAAAGCGTTCACATAGATGCGTATAGAACAACCTCTGCCTTGAATCAGTAGCTGCATGTTCTGCGTGGGTGGCGGAAGATCTTGTAGCTGCGAAATGTCCATGACTTCGATCCATCTTCCTGACCTTGTAGCGCTCACTCCTGCTTCATTCATGACCCTGTGGCACTGTGGCATTCCAGTGTCCAGAATTTCGTTCGGGCCATCAGCAACGCTCCTATGCTGTAGCAGTAGGCTTCTCGAGTAAATGCGCTCTGCTTCCACAGCATTGGGGGTGTCCGGAGTTGTATGAGCTTTCTCACGCATCGCCGAATCTGCATTCTTCGAATCTGCAATTCTTCTCAGGGGCTTCTGTTTGGTAGCCGAGCTGCTCTTCCGCAGGGCACGGGATTTCTCAAATGACGCGCAAGCCCATGAAAACCCAAGAATGGCCACAGCACAGGCCGCAGCAGTGATCACCATGCTCCAATCAGAGTGATGGGGCAACTGTCGCAAGGCAACTTGCGGTGCAGGTACTCGAAAGATGGGCCCGCCGAAGTCCATCATTGCCCTGATGTGAGCTCTTGACGACTAAGGCAGCAAGTCCACATTTACCTTGAACATGTCATGGCCACAGGCCGAGGGACAGGAAGCCTCTTTCATGGCAGCACAACAGCAAGTTTCTGCGAGCCTCCCCATCTCCGGTTTCGATGAAAAGGAGGCCGGGGCCATGGTCAATGGTCACTGGCACATCCAGTCTGAGAAGGGTTGGCCTCAGCGTCTTTAGCAGGAACTTTCCTCTGCGTCCTTAGGAACTTCCCAGTTCGAACGATTCGCCTTTCGCCATCCAGGCTCAGCAGCTTGAGCTCTTCGCCGTAGATGCTTTCAAGAATCTCAGGGCAAGCGGAAGCTCAAATGCGAATCTGAGCTGCTGGCACGCGCTCAACAACAAGGGTGTGAAAGCTGTTGGAGATTGCGAGCCTCTAGTTCCTGCTTATGAGATTCGTCAGCTTCGTCACATTGCTCAGTTCCATCTCAGACGCGTTGACTGCAGTCTGCTCAAGCTTGCACTGTAGTCAAAATAGTCAGTGATCCTGCTGCCCATGCGCAACGTGCATGCTCAGAATGGCACAGGTATTCCGGACCTCAATGACCTGATGCACAACTCCTCCAGTCTAAGCTATATGGCTTCTTTGCACTGCCAGCCTTGTTGGCAAAGCGCCGGGCCGCTTTGGACTCACCTATAAGCATTTTGACAAGACCGCACCCGCTCCGATTTTTCTGACAGTCTAGGCGCAATCGCTTAATGAGTCACGCCTGCGGTTGGCCAAAAAGCTGCCCCATGCTCCGTGGACTCCATAGAACGATTTGTTTGCAGAGTTCTGCTGCAGTAGCTAACGTTTTGCCGAACAAGTCTCATCCTCTCGAAATCATGAGGTTTTACGTACTTCCACTGACAAACCGTGCCAATTTGTTGAGGCATGGCAACTTCAGCGCACATGTGTGCAGCCAGGAAATCTTGAGCGTGAGCTTACAGTTGGAACTGGCAAGGCGCAGGTACTAAACATTACAACAGCAGGCATCCGCCGGCGCTCCATTTCGCAAGTCAAGCCCCTCGCACAACACCATCTCGTCCTTCCGTGCCAGCGCACCAACAAAGCTGACAAATGCAGGCAGCATTTTAAGCCTGCAGATCCCATGCCTTATCATCTTTTCTGGGACTCTCGATGGATGTCGCAGCACACATTTGCCGAAAAGGTGTCCGAAGGTTGGAAATACCTTGGTATGGACCGCTAATTATTTTGGAGTCCTATATACACCATTATATAGTTATATACCACATAAAGCCCTGCAACCCAATTCAGGTCATAGTTAAGACACAGGAAACCGATACGGGCTGATAGCATGAACGCATGGTTAGGACCTTGGTAAACCTCAGTAAGCCTTAGTAGGTTCCTCACTAGTTCTTGGGCCTTTCATCTCTGCCAGGAAAGTCAAGCCCCCTGCTACCTGTGGACAGACCGGTCCGGCTCATGTTCCATAGTTCCAAGTCAATAGTCAATAGTTCGAACCTCTTCAGAAACAGAATTTTCTATCTTAATCGCAGTATGCACGCTTCAGGTCCGCCAGCCATGTGGAGTGACATCTTTGTAGTCTTTGCTGAAGGGCCAGTCCCACATGAAGTTCCCGGAAAGGGGAGAAAGGCCCACAGGCTGGGATGGTATGATCCTGCTATGGAGCGATCGCGGCAAAATTCCAATGCATGATAACTTGCGACACACTTCTGGAACGCTGCAACCTCGGAAGCAAGTCATCCCGGTGAGATTTGCTGAGCAAAATGGGGTTTCAAGGCTTGACCAAACGGCGCAAAGCGCTCAGCAGAGTCAGCATGCAATTATTTAGCCTTTGCGCGGCTGGCTGCAGTATTTGCAGCCAAAGCGAAAGGCAGGAAGCGTGAAACGCTGCTTGGCCGGAGCAACTGCAGGCAGCGTGTTGCATCTGTACAGCAACGCCCTGTGCCCACATGCTCACGGATGCTCACAGATGCAGGTCGTGGCTTCAAGTGAAGTAAATTACCGTCCAGAGGCTCAGCCTGAAGTCGCTCACGCTATTACATCATTACAAGCTACTCGAACAGCTTCTGGGGATAAGAAAGCAGATCCATGCGAAGCTACAGCGACAGCATGGCCCAGCCTTAGGCATCGGTTGCGCGGACCATGCTGGCCATACTGCCTGTTCCACCATCGTCAAGGCCGCTTGCAGCTGGCGGACTGAGCCTGCAGGCTTTCAAACTCTCCAAGAATTAGAAGGCAAATCATCACATACCGGTTGTCGTCGAGTCAGCCCGCCGCATTGCGACAATTTTTCCATCGGAAAGTCCACGTCGCCGTAGGAGGTCCTAAGTTCTGAGCAATGCGTTGGCAACTGCGCTGTGCGCACCGTAAGCCTCTAGCAAAAGCAGTCAAGCCGGATCGGTCGTTCAACGAAGGATCTGCGCGAGAACGCACAAGCCTTGGGACATCACAGAACCGTGCTCGGCCTGAAGCACGGCGCGTGCAAAACTAGAGAACAAGCCGAGGGAACAGGTGCACGAGATACTCGTTGCCACGCTCACATGCTGCATGGAGTGCTGTAGCACCGCCTTCGGCAGTGCCGTTGACGGTTGCGCCATGCGTGAGCCTGACAAACGCGAACCAGTTTGAGAGTGCGAGGAGAAAATTTCGCCAAATCAAAGCTGAAAAGCCCCGGGAGCACTGAGAGGGCGGCAGGGCTTCCACGACGGATATTTTGGCTGCCCGGACGGCATCACATAGCCTGCATGGATTCAGAAAACTACCCGTTTTCATGAGCCAATCGCTCTGAACTAGAAGTCAGGGCATCCCACGGGGAGCCAGCTGTGGCATTGACATCGATACCATGGGCAAGGAGAGCCATGACCACATCCTGCCGTTTTCCCGACTGACTCATGAGTTTAGTCCCAACTGTCATCAAACCTCGTTGCAGCCACCCGCAGATGCTGCGCCCAGGGCAGAGACTCCTTCCTGTGCAGTCGTCCCGTGGCAACCGGCCAACAACCACACTAATCAGGCCAAATGATATATCCTTGTCCCGTCTGGAGGGATCAGCTCCGTGCTGAAGAAGCAACTTTACCACTCCTGAATCTCTTTTGACTGCAGGCAGGATCAAAGACCAACTTGCTCAATAATTCGCATATCATAAGATTCTCCAGCTCCAGCTCGGCTGGAGCGGGCCGCCAGCCATAATGGGCTTCGCAGGTCCTTGCAAAGTAGCACAACAGAGGTATGAAGGAAAACACCCATTTAGTTCTGACAATGCCGCACCAACCCCACATGATCTCATGTCACACGTTCCTGCGCACAAAGCTTACGTATAAATATGAACCTTGGAAGCGGCCAGCTTTCTTTTGAAAAGTAGGCAGGCTCTGCCGCATCCAGCAATATCCAGTCCGTGAACGGTACATGCGCACTGATGGCGCTTGGCAGCTGCATGTGCTGCTACGTGGTCCAGGTAAGGCTCACGAAGCAGGCCTTCGAGAACCGACCAGCACCCTGCGTGGACTGCATTTCGTTGTCATGTTGCTCACAGTTTTCTAATGCCGCCTCGACCACGCTGTCCAACGCTTATATTGGCCATTTGCCCCCCCCCTAGGCACTACCGTTTTGGTTAAAATTCATTGTAAATAGGTTGGGGAAGGGGGGGGGTACTTCCGTACGTTGTACTGTGCGTAAGTTCGGGAATGGGTGAGGGGTGGGGTAGTTCCGGAGTGGAAAGCACCATGGCGAGGTGATACTTTGATGACCGCAATGGCCGGTCATGTTGGGGGTGGCAGCCGTACACTGGCGCTATGGTGAACTTGCT